GCACAACAGAATGCCATTTAAAAAAGTTATGTCTAGGAAAGTTTTTCACCCATATGCCTCCACCTAAATTTAACAGCTGACATAAGATCTTCACAAGTTATATGTTGTTCATTACTTGGCATTCTGAAAAGTCTTTCCTTTTCCATTTCCATATTCCATGTTCTCTTAAGGTTAATTTTTTTCTCCTTAAAATGTAGGAAGCATAACAATTTCTAAGACTAAAAACAAAATTTTCAGTTGTTTTTTTTTTTCCCCAATTGCCCCTCCCTTACAAAAATCAATATGAAAAAGAGATAATACCCAGTGGCTTACCCAAAAGGTAATCTAACTTCCTCAGCCATAGAAGCCCATGCACCGCCCAGCTTATCCCCATTTCCCTTTAGCCAGGATGGAACACACCATACCTAAGCTGAGCCATCTTTTCCAGGCCCTCAGGACTGATGCGGTCCCTGGACAGCAGATTGCTGAGCTGCAGTTCCTGGTTATCAGCCACCCGAAGAAGCCTATGTAGTTCCTGTTGCTGTATGTTCCTCATGTGTTGCTCCATCTCCTCAGGACTCATGGTGCTGGCAGGGAGAGGACTACAAACGTACTGTCCTGATGGAGTTGGGTAGCCTGGGTAGTAAGGCCCAGGATACACACCATTTGTAGGGCCCACTGGATATTGCAGAGGGTTATAGCCTGTATAAGGATACTGGGAGGTGGGGCCTGGTGTCCGGGGGTAGTAATAGGGGTTGTCAGAGTTTTGAAACTTATAATAAGATGCTTGGGCCTGGCGCGAATCACCCCAAGATGTAGGGCTGACTTCATCATCAGTGTCCAAGAAATGTAACTGGGGTGTCTGGCTCTTTAGAGCAGGTTTCTGATCAGGATTGTTCGGGTCCCACAACCGTCGAGTGGTACCTCCTCGGCCCCAACTCCGAGATCCCTTACTACCAGATCCAAATAAAAGCCGAGGTCCCAAAGGTGTAGATTCTGGAGAACCAGATGAATTGACAGACAGGGAAGTATGAGCAGGCAGAATCAGAATGCCACGGCCACGACCCCGAAGTTCTTGTTTCAGGTTTTTGGACTCCTGCTTCTCAGAGCCTTTGCCCCCATTGCTCAAGCCTTTGTCAGGCTTTACCTTATCCACATCTTCCCTGGCTGACCTCACCACAGGGGAATCTTTGTTCATGGTTTCTGCATCAAAAGTGACACGAAGAGTACCTCGATTTTCTTTACCATTGCTTTTCTGCTCTCCTTCCCCATGGCCAGACCAGTTTCTTTCTAAATGTTTCTTCCTTTCTGAGCTCCTCCTGGGCCCATCCGATTCATCAATTCTGTCCTCATCTAAGGAGTCAGTTGAGGACATGGACACTTGCTTCTTCAGTCTTGGCCTCAACTTGGCCCTGTCCTGGCGGCGGCGGCGACATCCATTATCAGTCATGCTAGTCCCCTCAGTACTGTTGTTGCTACCAGCTGAGCTGGTACTGCAAGTGCGGTAGCGATTCCTTCGTTTGTCTGAGCGGGAATAGCGCTTTGCAGAACCCAGCTTCACCTGTGCCGGGTCTTCATTCACTTTCTTCATCCCCTCCCCTTTTTCAATCCTCTTTCCTTTTTCTCCCTTTGCAGTCCTTACTCTGTCACAATTTAAGCTCTTGTGTGCCTCATTTTTGTCTGGTTTATTCACAACCTCCTCTTTCATATGTCCCCTACATTCGTCTTCCTCTACTTTCAGTTGTTCTACTTGGTTGAGGATTTCTTCCTCATCCACACGGCTAGTAGACTCTTTGGTAACAGTCTGCAAACGTCTTCCAGGCTGATAGATCTGCATGTCAGGTTTCTTTGTTCTCTTGATAATTCTTAGACTTCGATCCTCTTGTCCAGCAGTCCTAGGAAAGGACTCTTGTGCCTGAATATTTTCTGGGTCCATAGGACCATTTTGCTGTTGGTTGTCCAGTTTCTTGCAGACATCTTTAATGAGCTGTGTACCATTTCCAACAGCAGAAGAATCTCTGTCATTAACAATTTCATTCTTAAATTCATCATTCCCAGGGGGTTCCTTGATTTTAGGTTTGCTCCTTAGGCGTGAAAGACCAGGTTTATAAATCTCCAGATCTGGGCGCCTGTTATCTTTGCGTTGCCTGGGCTCCTTCATGTTTTCTGTGATGTTGAAGAAAGTGATAGGGGTTGGGGGGAAGTAGAAGAAAAGAATAAAGAAAGAGGGAAGGGGAAAAATGTCATTCTGGTAAATTAACAGAAAAATCAAGCAAAAATTAAACATCAAAATGCTATTATTGATGGAAAAAGAAGGAAATTTCTGCAAAAGCAGAAATTCTACTAAGTTTACAGTATTTGTTCAGTAACTGGCAAGGCTAAGAACTTGTGTTGGCGTTACCTACACCCCAGATAGGGAAACGAAAAAAAACTGTGTCACCAAGTCATATTCAGATCCCCAAGACTATAAACTACCCTATAACTGTCAGAATAAAAGGTTTCCAAACATTTCAATATTAGACTGTTCTCTATTATAGAGCCCTAAGATCTCCCTTAGTCTTTTCTTCTTCTGCCTCTAATGTTTTTCCAGGGTGGCTAACTCCTTTTAACATACTAGCAGGAAAAGGGGAGAAAAGAAAAAAAGCAGGACATGCATAATATGCATGGTTCTGGACATCTCTGGAGAAAAAACTGCAAGTCCAGTCTCTGGACTTGGCCAGAACAATCCTCTTCTTTAGGATACCAATTACCCAATCATATACCTCCTGCAGAAGCAAACTAGAAGCAGTTCCTTTCACATTCTTCAACTCTACTCATGATCATCAGCTTTCTAACAGCAGCCAACAGATTTATTCCAAGGAAATACTGCTCAGACTATCATCATTGGAATACTGAGACTAACTGCTACTATGATGATGGAATATGAGAAGGAAAAAGTTCCATAAGAGAGCTTTCCCTGGAAGATGATGAAAGTATTGTGACATGCTCTTAAAATACCAAAGACTGAGGGCACTCAAGAATAAAAAGAGCATATGACCCTGGCTGGGTAGCTCAGTTGGTTTGAGTGTCATACCAATATGCCAAGGCTGCAGGTTCAATCCCTGGCCAGGGCATATATAAGAATTAACCAATGAATGCATAAATAAACAGAACAACAAACTGATGTTTCTCTCTCTCTCTAATCTTTCTAAAATCAATATATAGCCTTGGCTGGTGTGGCTCAGTGGGCTGAGTGATGGCCTATGAACCAAAGGATCACCGGTTCAATTCCCAGCCTACAGCGCATGCCTGGCACAAGTGGGCCAGGTCCCCAGTGGGGTGCACCTGACAGTTAACCACACACTGATGTTTCTCTCCCTCCCTTCCTCTCTCTAAAAATAAATAAACAAAATCTTAAAAAAAATAAAATCAATACATAATTAAAAAAAAATAAGGATAAGAGCACAGGACTTCAGAAGCCACTCTCCAGGTTCCATGAACTTACTTAATGACAGACAAGCAAGTCTCTACTTTTTGTTTCTGTTACCTTTATCTATTAAGGGGAGACACTACTACAAATAGCCACTAAGCATTTCAGTGGGAAAGTGACAGGGATTACTGAGATTATAGAGCACACAAAATGGAATGCTATATAAAGTCCTAGTATTGTCCTATAAACATCAACATAAACAAACTCATAACAGGTATCATATGCTGTGGTATTTACACCTATGGGTAAAACAAGACAGACGGAAAAAAAAAACTCTGATGTTTAAGATACTGCTCCAGTATTATCAGAAGTTTAAAAAACTGCTTCATCAAGTATGAATAAAATAAAGCAGTTTAACTCCAGAACAGATCACCCTCAGCAGCCTTTGTAATGTAGGTGAAGTGGAGGGAAGAACTACTACTATTTTCCACATTAGAGGGAGCAAAAGAACCTGAATAATTCAATTCAGTTGAGCGATGAAAACCAATGTTATAGACTTTGGCCACAGGTCTGCAGAAGCATAACTACCATTCTACATAACTCCGCCGCCTAACAAAGGATAGGGGAGACACTAGAATCCTAGTAGGAGCTTTCCTGATGTGCCCAGAGACTTTAAGTTGCAAGTTGAGCATTCTCTCTAATAAAAACAGGTCCCACACATGCCAAAGCCAAACCAGAGTGGAGTCAACTCTCTGAGGTCCTGGATCCCTCAGTGGCGCAGTCTTCAGAAACCTGCCTAGGGGTAAAAAAATTCAGCAAGGAAGTCCCAAGCTGTTAAACCTTCCTCCACAATTTCCCCAGTTCCCTCTCTCCAACGCTGCTAAGTAGGTGACGGGGCAGGCCTGAGGACGATTGCTCTGTGAACGACACACCCCGGGGCCTCCACCAGACCCCAGCGCCCACTCCTTTCCTCGTCTCCTGACGGCTGAGAATCCAAGGGCTGTCTAACAAGACTGGGGCAATGGGGGAACAGTCACCTTCTCTGTAGGAAAGGGGGCGGAGGCAGGCACTCGAGTTGGACTGGTCCGAAGGGGGCCGGAGCTGGCTGAGCGGGACCCCACACAGACCCTGGGCTGGTTGGGAGAGGAGGACAGCCTTCGTCCAGCCGCCCCCACAGTTGAGGGAAGGGGCGGGGGCTCCGGAGTGCGGCGGACCGAGCGGGGAGGAGGCAGAGGAGGAGAGGGAGGCGGGGCGGGCAGGCCCAGCCCAGGAGCTGGGCGGTGCGACTTACCTCTGCTCCCGGCCTGCGGAGCCAGAGTGGCCAGGATCCCTCGCAGCTCAGACGCGGAGATTCGGACACGCTCCAACCCTTCCGCCATCTTCGCCGCTGCTGCAACAGCTGCAGCTACTCCACCACCGCCGCGCGCAGCCAGGAAACCACGACGGACGGGCGGCGCGCGCTCACCCACCTCCCACCCTTTTCCCCGCCCCCTCCCGCCCTCCTCCCCAAACGACGGTGGCCGCACTGGGAAGAAAAACATTCAGGCACTTCTGTGGGGAAGACTCCGAACGTGAGCCTGGGCGTGGGAGGCGGCCACTGCGCATGCGCAGAGGCGGTGTCGGTGGAAGGTGAGCTGAGGCTGGAATTGGAGGCGCGGCGCATTTGAGGTGAGGTGAGCTGAGGCCAGGCGAAGTCAGGATAGGCAGGCGGTGGCGGCGGTGGCCGCTGTCGTTGCTGTAGTGGTCATCGAGATTACTGGTGCTGGTCGAGGGCTCGGGTTGACAAAGACAACACACAATCCGTCCTCCTTCCCTCATCCTAGGCCAGAGTCTCCCACCACAGGGCTGGACTAGTGCCCCAGGCCTTTATTTTGAGACCTTAAAGATCTTGTAAGAGTAATTATTGTTATCCTCACTACCCCCACCCACTCCCCAAATGTGAGGAAGCGAAATCTTAGAGAACCTTACTGTATATTACCTGAGGTGATACAATTGATGAGTACCAGATCTAAGTATTCTCCTTTATGGCAAAGTACATCCCCAAACCTCTTGACTTTTTCTTTTAAAAGTACAATGTAGTTGGCTCTTGCTGATGGGAGGGTTTGTGTGGAAGTAAATCAGGAGGTATTATAAGTCGGTTTGTGAATTTCTGTACGATTGGATTCTTGGAGAAATTACTTGACTTCCCTGGAGTTCAGGTTGATTTTTTCCCCCATCTTTAAATCAGGAGACTGGTATTGAACTGCTTGTTCAGTGGCTCCTCTTCAGAACTGTGATGAAATGGCGTGCCCCAAGGCTGCTGCTTTCCTCCACCTGTTGCTCCTTCCAATCCCTGCAGGCTATTGAACCTCTACACCAGGGGTGTCCAACCTGTGACCCTGGATGGCTATGAATGTGGCCCAACACAGAATTGTAAATGTATTTAAAACCTTTTTTTTGCTCATCAGTTTTTGTTAGTGTTTGTTATTTAATGTGTGGCTCAAGACAACTCTTCTTCCATTGTGGTCCAGAGATGCCAAAAAGTTGGACACCCCTGCTTTTAAATAGTTATGAATTATTCCTTAGAGTGGGCCTAAAGGATTTGAATACTCTCTGATGAAATTCATTCAGTTCCTATTATGTGACAGACACTTGCCACCAGAAGGTTAAGCAGACATATAAAGTCAGTAAGATACAGGAAAAGATTCAATGGTCCAAAAGTAGGGGAGTGAAATACTACTCAGCCATAAAAAGAAGGGAATCTTACCTTTTACAAAAGCATGGATGGACCCGGAGAACATTATGAGTGAAATGAGCCAGTCAGAGAAAGCCAAGTACCATATGACTTCACTCATATGTGGAATAAAATGGATCTAGATTATTTTATTTATTTATTCATTTATTTTAATCATTACCCAAGGATATTTTTATTGATTTGAGAGAGAAACATCGATCAGTTGCCCCCCATACACACTCCCACCAGGGATTGAATCTGCAACCTAGGTGTGTGCCCTAACCAAGGATCATACCTATAGCCTTTTGGTGTAAGGATGACACTCCAACCAACTGACCCGCCTGGCCAGGGCAAATCCAGCTTATTTTTAAACTAACAAACTAGAGACAGACTCATAGACACAGAGAAGAGACTGACAGCTGTCAGAGGGGAGGCAGGTTGGGGGCCTGTGTGGGCAGGGGATAGTGGTAAAGGGATTAAAAAAAAAAGTCATAGACAGGGATAACAATATAGTGATTACCAGAGGGAAGGAGAGGTGGGGGAGGTGGAAGAGAGTAAAGGGGATATATGGTGATGGAAGGAGACTTGACTTGGGGTGGTGAACACACAATATGGTGTACAGATGATGTGTTATAGAATTGTACACCCGAAACCTATGTAATTTTATTAACCAGTGTATCCCCAACAAAAATCAAATAAATAAAGGGGAGTGATTTGAGTGGTCAGCACAAATGACAGTCTTTAAAACATAAGAGAGAAATAGGAAGGAAGGTTCAAAATTGGAGAGGACATTTCATCAGTTGGGGTTTTTTTTGTTGTTTTTTTAAGATGGAAAAATAATCTGAAGAAAACTTGTGTAAATAGGAAAAACACTGTTGCCAAATTAATGCAGTAGTGTCAGTGAACTGCAGGTGAGACATGCCAGAAGTTAAACCAGTTCAAGAAAATTTACCAGAACTTAGAATGAAAATATAATAATAGACAAAACTGTTAGAGGTAAGGATAGGAGACATGGAGAATGGATCCAGAAAACTTATGATCAAATATGAACTCCAGAAGGTGATAACAGAATTGACTGTGGAGGAGCATTAATCAAAGAAATAATACAAGAAAATTCACTAAGTGGATGGAAAATTTTGAATTTAAGATTTAAATTCACCCTGATGGATTAAGCACCAGCCTGTGAACCAAAAGTCGCTGGTTCGATTTCTGATCAGGGCACATGCCTGGGTTGTGGGCCAGGTCCACAGTTGGGGGCATGTGAGAGACTACAACCCATGTATCTCTCACACATCATTGTTTCTCTCCTTCTTCCCTTCCCCTGTCGCTAAAATTAAATAAAATAAAATCTTTAAAAAAAAAAGATTTAAATTCAACCCTCAGATTTAAAGGGCTCATGAAATATCAGGTAAAAGTAAATGAAAAGACAACCATATTTTAGACCTGTATCAAATGAAAGCTTCTGAGTTTAAAGAATTGAAATATGACCTTGGCCAAGTAGCTCATTTGGTTTGAGCATCATCCCAATACACAAGATTGTGGGTTTGGTTCCTGGTCAGGGCACAACCAATGAATGCATAAATAAGTAGAACAAAAAATTGATCTCTCTCTACCCGCCTTACCTTTCTCCCTCCTTCCCTCCCTCCCCCCTCCCTCCTTCAGAATTTCTCCTCCTCTCCCTCTCTTCGTGTCCCTTACTCTAAGAATCCATTTTTTAAAAATCCTTTTAAAATTTTTTTCCACTACTTTAAAAATTGAAATATGTGTTGACATGGAACAGTTTTCAAGTTGTTATGTTAGATTAAAAAAATGCTAGTTGCAGAATACAGAAGTAAACAAAAGTACATTTACAGCTGTGAGTATGGGAAACACAGTGTTTATTCTTCTATTATTATGTATTAATTACTGTATTTTCCATACAAACAACTGTAATCATACTTTTGTCCACCCCTGTGTGTACAGTATGGCTCTGAGTGCAGCAAAACCTATTTATTGCATATAAATTTCTATATAAATTTATCAAAAGCTGTGGAAGAATACATACCAAACTTTTAAAGTGGTTATCTTTGTGGAAAAGAGTCAATTTAATGGAAAAGACTGAAAGATCTATATATTTTTATAATGTTTTAAATGATTACAGTAGGGATTTGATCACATTATGGGAGTAATCAATAAAACAACAAAGCATATTTAGATAATGGGGGATTGAGGATTTCAGTTTCTAAAAACAAAAATTGGACAGGTCATGATTGCTGAGCATAAAGTAGTAAAACAAGTAATGAATAACCACAAATTTAAAAATTCTAAGCATTTGGAAAGTTTTTTAAAACACCAATTTTAATTAACTAATGGGTCAAAAAAATAAAACTAAGATCATGGGTTCTTTAGAAGTTAAGATTAATGAAAATATTGTACACAAAACCTGTGGTATATTATTAAAGCAATATTCATGTACTTTTATTATTAATTTTAATAATAAAATGGAAATTATAAGGAACATAGAAGAAATAAAATCAGAAATTAATAAGGGAAAAAGAACAGTACTTGATAAATAAATTGAAGAGCTCATTCTTCAGGAATAAAGTAGACATTAAAATAGACACATTTCTGGCAACAACTACAAAAAAGCTAAAGAACATCCTCCCAGATGTCTCATAAGTAATTCAAATTTAGCTCATCAATCTCTGATTTTCCTAAAATACTTATTTATTTGTCAGTCTTGTATCTCAATAAATTACCACCGAGACAAAACCCAGGAGTTCTCCTTGTCTCTCTCACTCGCCACATTCAATCCAGTATTAGGATCTGTCTCTTCTATCACTGTAGTGGACATTTACAGAATTCTTCACCTCAACATTCTCCTCTTTTCTCTTGAAAACTGCCCCTCACTCACAGAAATGCTTTCTCTTTTTGTCTTTCTCTTTTTTTCCTTCTTACTTCCTCCCTCCCTTTGTTTGCTTTTACTTTTCCCTCAGGTGCAGAAATTTAATGCAATCGTACTGTTTGGTTCACATCATCAAAGCCTTTCTCAATTTATCTTTTTTCCCTTCATTCCAATTTCCATTATGTTCCTACCCTCCCCACTTAAGTCATTGCTCTAATATGCTTGAAATATGTCCTTGGATACATGTATATTTTTAAATAATATATAGTATGTTATGTATGTATGTATTTTAAATGTACATTATTGATACTGTGTTATAGGAATCATTCTGTTTCTTTTTCATGTTTCTGTACATACTTCTGACTATTGCATAGTGTTGTCTTAAATGACCTCACACCCTTGGCCACTGGTCCTGGGCCAAGATGGGCCAATCAGAGTCCTTACCCAGAATTTTTTGAACTGAAACTAAGAAAGAAAATCCCTCTTCAGTGTGGAAGCCATAAAATGTAAAACACAGGAGCTGTCAGCAGCCATGCATCCTGCCATGTGGAACTGATCTGCAATGAAAAAGAATGAAGCTGACATGCAGAAAGCAGCAGAGGTGAGAAGCAATCAGAGAGTCCTGGAAAATCTCAAATCCCTGGTTCCAGTTGTTCCTGAAGGTCCATATCCCTACCCTTCCCATTGTTTAATTCTTCCTTTTGTTCCATGAGCCAATAAATCTCATCAGCTTTATCTCATGCGTATGCCAGTTCAAATTGGAGTTCTATCACTTGCAGCCAAGAGGCCTAATTATAATCTCCAAAATGTAACTTTTTCTCTGTGTGTTTTTTTAGTTGTGGTTAATTACAAATAATATGAAATATATCATCATAACCATTTTTAAATGTACAGTCCTATAGTGTAAATACATTCACATTGTTATACAACCGATTTCCAGAATTCTTTTCTCTTGCAAAACTGAAACTATACCCTAATGCTGTAAGTTTCCTGCCCTTTCCCCCAAGCCTCTGGCAACCACCATTCTACTTTCTTATGAATTTGACTGTTCTAGGTACCTCACATAAGTGCAATCATAAGTTATTGTCTGTGTCTTTATTTCACTTAACATAAAATCCCCAAGATTTGTCCATGTTATAGCATGAACATTCCATTTCGTTAAGGCTAAATAATACTCCATTATATGTATATATTAGATTTTGTTTACCCATTCATCTGTCAATAGATACTGAAGCCCTGGCTGGTGTGGCTCAGTGGGTTGGGTGTCATCCCACAAATGAAAAGGTCACAGGTTTGATTCCTGGTTAGGGCACTTGCCTGGCTTGCAGGTTTGCTCCTCAGTCAGGCCACATGCAAAAGGCAACCAATGATGTTTCTCTCCCTCTCTTTCTCCCTCCCATCTCCTCTCTCTGGAATTAATTAAAAAAAAAAAAAATAAGAGAGATAGTTGGGTTGCTTCCACTTTGGACTATTGTGAATAATGCTGCTATGAACCTAGGTGTACAAATATGTCTTTGAGATCCTCTTTGAATTCTTTTGGGTATATACCCAGAAGTGGAATTGCTGGATCTTATGGTAAACCTATGTTTAATTTTTTGATGGACTACCATGCTATTTTCCATAGTAGCTACACCATTTTACATTCCCACAAACAGTGCACAAGAGCTCCAGTTTCCCCACATCCCTGCCAACTCTTGTTATTTCCTGTCTTTGTTTGTTTTTTAAATAATAGTCATTCTAATAGGCATAAGGTAGTATCTCATAGTTTTGATTTGCATTTCCCTGATGATTGATGATGTTGAGCATCTTTATTCGTGTACTTGTTAGCCATTTGTATATCTTTGGAAATGTCTATACAAGTCCACCCATTTTTTAAAGATTTTATTTACTTATTTTTAGAGAGAGGGAAAGGGAGGGAGAAAAAGGACGAGAAACTTCAATGTGAGAGAGAAACATGGATCACTTGCCTCACGCACACCCCCAATCAGGGACCTGGACCACAACCCAGGCATGTGGCCCCACCGGGAATTGAACCAGAGACCTTTCAGTTTGCAGGACAATGCCCAACCCACTGAGTCACACTAGTCAAGGCTCACCCATTTTTTAAGTAAGGTTTGTTTTTCCAAAATGTATCTTGAGTGTTTATTTTTTTTCTACCTTTACTTTCGCCATCCAGGTCCCTCTTGTCTTTCATGTGGACAACTCTTAACACTACTTAGCTGAATTGACTGATACCACTCTTATCTCTTTCCTTTTCATTCACCATAACAAGAGTGATTTTCTGAAAATATTAATCCCAACATGTCACTTACCTGTTCAAAATTCTCCAATGGCATTCTATTGCTCTTAAGTAAAATCACTCTCCCTTACAAGTCATTGTCCCTTACAATCTAGACCCTGCCAACCAACTTCACTCTCACCTCTTATCACATTCCCCTTTGATCACTATTCTCAGATACATTGCCCTCCTTTTAGTTCCTGGAATATACCAACCTCTTGTCCTCCTTAAAGCCTCACCCATGTTTTTCCCTCTACCTGAAACACTTTTCTTCTTACTTGCCCATTCATCTTGTGGATCATAACTCAAATTTCACTTCTCCATAGAGGATCTTACCTGATCTAAATAAGGCCCCATATTATAGTATCCTATCACAACACTGTTTCCTAGTATCACCTATTGCTATTTGTAAATACATGTTCATTTTGGGATTACTTATTACACATCACTCCACTAGATCGTAAGCTTCATGAGGGCAGAGACAAGTCTATTTGTCTAACACTACTTCCCCAGACCAAACAGTATCTAACACATAGAAGGTGCTTAATATTTCATGACTGAATGATTGAGTGAACACCACAGATATAGAGTACTAGAAATATTAATATGTGTAACTTTATACTAATTTTAAATTAGACATTATTTTGCCCAAAATATGTTACTGAAATTAATTCAGGAGGAGGTGGCAAATCTATATTAAACCAGTAACCATGAAGTCACTGAAAAAGTTACCAGAGGGATATTTTTAAACTTTTTACTTTCTAGATTTTATTTGTTTTTAGAGAGAGGGATGGGAGGGAGAAAGAGAGGGAAAGAAACATAAGAGATATAAGAAACATTGATCCTGACCTGCAACCCAGGTGTGTGCCCTGACCGGGAATCAATGGGCTACCCTTTGCCTTTGCCTGTGGGAGGACACGCAATCAACTGAGCCACACTGGTCAGGGCTACCAGAGGGGTATTTATAAGGTAAAGACAAATGATTTATAGATAGCATGATTACTTGAAGAATGAACTATAAAATTATTAGCTGTAATAAGATAGTCTATTAAATATCTTATTACATGATAACTATGCAAAATTATTAGCTTTCATATATATCACCAGTAAGCAATATAAAAATCAAAGGAAAGAAATATCCCAAAAGCAACAAAAATGTACTTAGGCAGAAATTTAATCATCTATACAGGACCCAAATATACTATAAAAACTTTACTGAGAAACCTAAAACAAAAAGACTTCACTAAATTTTACTTTACTAAATTTACTTTCAATTTTACTAAATTGAAAGACACCTATGTTTGTGGACAGGAAGACTCTTTTTTTTATTATTATTTTTTTAAGATTTTACTTATTTATTTTTTTTAGAGAGGGAAGGGAGGGAGATAGAGAGAGAGAGAGAGAGAGAGAGACATCAATGTGCGGTTGCTGGGGGTTATGGCCTGTAACCCAGGCATGTACCCTGGCTGGGAATCGAACCTGCGACGCTTTGGTTCGCAGCCCGCGCTCTATCCACTGAGCTACGCCAGCCAGGGATAGGAAGACTCTTTTTTAAATGTAAGTTACACCCCAATTCATTTGTTCATTTTACAGTGGAATTTCTGACAACCTTAATAAAGGATGTCTAATGTCCCTTTGGAAGAATTATTTGTGAGAAAAGCCAATAAATTTTCAAAAGAGTAATCAGGGAAGAACATAATACAATGAACAACTGAAAAAGGAACTGGCAGCCTGATAAATGGAACAAAATATGAAGTCCAGATGAGCCCAAACATTAATAAAAATTTAATTTTGATAAATGTAATGTTTCAATGGAATAAGATGATTCAGCCAGTAATGGTGTGGTAAAGATTCATGGAAGAATAAGTGTCCAATAGATATACAGGAAAAAATGTTCAATCACTGTTTAAAGAAAACGAAATTCTAACTACTAGACATTTCATTAAATTGACAGATAAAAATGATATCGCAAAGATGAAGGAAAATGGACATTCGTTGCAAACTGCTGTTGGGAGTATAAAATGGGATAATCTACAACTCTTCTGGAGATCAATTTGGTAGTGGGGGTGGGTATCAAATATCTTAGATGTGTGCATGCCTTTTGATGCAAAATACCATTTAGTGGGATCTACCCAAAGCATGTATGGAGATACACAAAGATCTTGCAACAACGCTATTATTCACTACATCATTATTATAGCCCCACCAAAATCTAAATGTTCAACAATAGAGTTATGTAAAACTACAGTTGTTGTTTTTTTAAAAGAAGAAGTACTATTAAGCCCTGGCTGGCGTAGCTCAGTGGATTGAGCGCGGACTGGGAACCAAAGTGTCCCAGGTTCAATTCCCAGCCAGGGTACATGCCTGGGTTGCAGGCCATGACCCCCAGCAACCGCACATTGATGTTTCTCCTTCTCTCTCTGTCTATCTCCCTCCCTTCCCCTCTAAAAATAAACAAATAAAATCTTAAAAAAAAAAAGAAGTACTATTAAGCCATTTTAAAGGTTGTATAAACCCTACCCAGGTAGCTTAGTTGTTTTACAGCACCATTCCAATACACCAAGGTTGTGGGTTCAATCCTTGATCAGGGCACAACAAGAGTCAAGCAATAAATAAGTGGACAACAAATCAATATTTCTATCTCCCTTTCTCTCTCTAAAAACAATAAATTGTTTAAAATTTGCATAAATATACCTATTGATAAGCAAAGATCAATATTCATAATACTTTTTTAAAAAAGTCACCAACCTGTCAAGTTTTGTTTGCATATATATGTGAGTCTGGAAAGATAAACACCGGAGCTTAGAAAGCAATTGTGTTTGGGGAGGAAGATTAAATTCTGTTTTTCTATTGACCATGCATTGCTTTTGCTAGTTAGTTAATAAGAAAAAACAAAGAGAAGTGTTATGGTTAAATGCTACAATAAAAGTACTGAAAATGGAGGCATAATACAGTTACTGAAAATTATAATTATGAAAACTTTGAAGAAATTAAGCCAAATGGAGGAGTAAACAAAATGTTATTTTTTGCTTTGTCACATAAAGTATGTATATTGAAAAAAATGGAAACAGAAAATTATCATAATTTACTATGATAGGATTGTAGGAAATTTTTCATTGTTAAATACTTTTTTGAAATAAAAATTTATAAGCCCTGGCTGGCATAGCTCAGTGGATTGAGCGCGGGCTGGGAACCAAAGTGTCCCAGGTTCGATTCCCAGCCAGGGTACATTCCTGGGTTGCAGGCCAGAACCCCCAGCAACCACACATTGATGTCTCTCTCTCTCTCTCTCTCTCTCTCTCCCTCTCCCTCCTTTCCCTCTCTAAAAATAAATAAATAAAATCTTTAAAAAAAATAAAATAAAAATTTATAGAAGATTTTGAATGCAGTTCTTTACAATGATGGAAATATCAAGTGATGGATGATATGGGTAAGAGGTGAAATTTAAGCCTTCCATACTCATCACCAATTACTTCCTATAAAGCTTCATCAGAAAAAAAAAAAAAAAAACAACCTTGTATTTACTAAGAAACTCAGCTTCAAGATAAGTTGCCTTCTATACAATGATTCTGGAGCCATAGTAATGGAGACAGTTCCCACATTAACATGACAGGCCCAAGGCCTATTTTCGTATGTTAGGCATATTCTTGTATTTTTAAAATATTTTTAGAGTAGTTTAAATTTCGTATCAAAATTGATCCAGAGGTAGAGATTTCCCATAAGCCTCCCTGCTCCACACATGCATAGCCTCTCTCATTATCAACATCTCTCACCAGAAAGGTACATTTGTTATGGTTGAACCTACATTAACACATTACTACCTCAAGTCCATAGTTTACACTGTAGTTCACACCTATATATTCTATGGAGCTGTTTTGCATTTTCAATACCTTTTCAATGAACACATCTTGGACTTCGCTTTTACCCCTTTTTTATTCCCAGGTTTCAGAACCATGTGTGCTCAGTACTGCATCTCCTTTGCTGATGTTGAAAAAGCTCATATCAACATTCGAGATTTTATCCACCTCACACCAGTGCTAACTAGCTCCATTTTGAATCAAGTAACGGGACGCAATCTTTTCTTCAAATGTGAACTCTTCCAGAAAACTGGATCTTTTAAGGTAAAAATCCCTTTTGATAGTGTGTCATGTATCTTTTCAACCCCTTTTCATATATTAAATTTATTTGATCCTCCTGACTACCCAGTGAGGTAGACAGAATTCATGTTTTTATAGCTGAAGAAAGGAAACTAGTTTTCCTTTGATCAACTTCTAGTTACTCAGCATCAAATGTTGAGGAGCCACTTTTACACAATCTCAGCACTGATTATAATTAGGGTGATATAGTTTACTGACTAAACTTGGACATGAGAATGAAAGAGGGAACTTCTAGTGATTAAACAGAGACAGCAGACTCTAGATTGTTGCAAGGCAAGATGGGCACGTGTGACTACTGCATAACCTAGTGTAAGCACTCACTTGGTGTCAACTTGCTATTCATTGTTACCTTATTCTGAATATAAAATGTCTAAACCCAACTAAATCCTCGTGTAATCTTATTACACAAACTATGTCAGTGTCTTTCCTATGCAAAAAGATAAGACTTCTGTTGTTGACTCATTACCTGGATTTCCTAACCATTAGTTGAACTTTAAGATCCTTTCAGGTAAAAATCTGAGAGCTGCATTTAGTACTGTGTCAGCACCTGTGAAGTGGTAGCTCTAGGACTTCAAGAATCTACCTTTCCTCCCTCCCATCAACTGAAAGCTTTTATACTAAAACAGGAAAAAACTTTCCATTCTCTCTTGCCCTTTGCTTCTGCCATGGCTTATTGGGCACATATACAGTAGGCCTTGTCCTACAACCACCTTGCAGGGAAAGACAGGCTGGTCAACAAATAGGCTTACAAGGACTGTCTTAAGAGAGAGTCTTAAGAGAGGCCCTTTTCAAAGTGCCGTGAAAGAACAGAGAATGAAGTAACTTATTTTGGAGATCAAGGAAGTTAACATGTTTGATCCAAGCTTTACAGGATGAGTACTTTTAACCAAATCATGGAGAGAGTGAAAATACTACAGGTAGAGTATGAGCATGCTTAGAGGTACAGGAGTGTGAGCTAACCTGGTAGGAGGGAAACTAGAAGCAAATTCGGATGGCTACAACACTGAGAGGGGCAGTACATGTGTTTGAAAGGCTGCATGCAACTTGTACAAAAAAAAAGGCAAAGAAAAAGATAACCTTTGTTTTTAAAAGATCACTTTCATAACCTAGTGGAATATTAGAGGAGAATGATCCTTAAAGTGGGATCAGTTGAGGTTTGGTAACATGCAAGCAATGAAGCCTCACCAATATAGTGGCAAAGAGACACACGTGAGGTATTCAGGAAGTAGAATTGGATAAGATTTAGTGATAGACTGGATGTATGGTATTAGGAAGAGAAAATCTAGTAAAGCTCCTTGGTTTTTTTAAAAGAAACTTTAATCAAATACATACATTTTACTTTCTTCTTTTTCTAGATTCGTGGTGCCCTCAATGCAATCAGAGGTTTGATTCCTGCCACTTCAGAAAGGCCCAAAGCTGTTGTTACTCACAGCAGTGGAAATCATGGCCAGGCTCTTGCCTATGCTGCCAAATTGGAAGGTACTTGATTTCTCAGGGTATTGGGTAGGATCATTAGAAGTGGAAAAGTATCCTTACTTTCAGTGAGATTGATGATAGCTGTGGGAAGAAGTAAATGAGTATGTATCTGATCACAAGAGACTCAACAGAAACTTCTATCCTAAATTCTCCAGATTTGTACTAACTGAATGTGTTTCCCCATCTCAGGAATTCCTGCTTATATTGTGGTGCCTCAGACAGCTCCCAACTGTAAAAAACTGGGAATACAAGCCTATGGAGCCTCTATAGTGTTCAGTGAACAGAGTGATGAGGTGAGAGAGCAATGTTCAGTAACACCTTCAGTTTTCACTGTCAAATGAAACTTCCTATCTTATCAGGTATTCCTTTTCACTATTTTCCCTTTATCTCTAAATATTAGCATGCCCAACCTTTTCTCTATCTACACTTACTCAAATGATCTTATTAGTCTCATAGTTCAAAATACTGCCCACCTACATGCTAACTCAAGCCCTGACCTTTGCCTTTAAACCACATGTGTGTATCCAACAGCTACCCAGTGTTCGTTCCCTCTGGGATGTCTTAATTAGGCATCTCAAACTTGCTGTGTCTAAACCCAAACTGATTTTATTCACCCTCTACTACACTTCAGCCAGTTTCACCCATCTCAGTAAATGGCAACTTTAATCTTTCGAAGTTGCTAAAAGAAAAAAAAAAGTTGGAGTCATTTTGGTAACTCTTTTGCACCCCACATCCAAATCTTAGTTCTACTTTCAAAATATTTCCATAATCCAACTACTTCTAACTTTACCTAAGCCTTTACCATTACTATGTAGATTAAGTAGCCTCCTAACTGGTCTCTTGTTTCTACCCTTCTCCCATTAGTCTGTTTTCAAAGAGCAACCAGATCTATCCACTCACTTAGAACTTGTCTTGTCGGCCCCAAATCCTCCAATGGTTTCCCACCTCATCCGCAGTGGGAACCGAAGTTCTTCCAGCCACCTAAGGCCTAAATGAATTAGCCCATTTCCTATCTTTCCGATCTCATCCTACAGTTATCCTCCCCCAAACACTCCATGCCAACCACTTAGCAATCTCAGAAAGGCTAAGCACTCTACTTTGTAGTCTTAGCACTTGGAATTACTTTCACTGAAATATTCTAGATAGCAGGTCTGATTCACATCTATTAAAATGGCACTTTACCAGAGGGGCCCTTCCTAAGTATCCCGTATAAATGAACTTTTCTCCATAGCATGTAGACATAGCATTTGTTTTACTTACATATCCCAGTCCTCCCCACTGTCAGCACACAACTCCCTTTGGCACAGGGACTGTTTTGTTCAGTTATGTCCCCAGTGCCCAGTCTCAAAAATGGAGGTGGCCAATAAAGCATTAAATGACTGAGTCTAACTTGTTGGAAACACTATTAAATACAAATCAAATAAGCTAAATGTACTTCCAGGCCAGAGAAAAAGTTACAAAACAAATTATGGAAGAAACGGAAGGCATCATGGTACATCCCAACCAGGAGCCTGCAGTGATAGCTGGGCAAGGGACAATCGCCATGGAAGTGCTGAACCAGGTAAGCCTCGTCAGTTCTTACTGGGCTACTGGTAAATCTGATGTTTGGCTGTAGAATCAACTATTTGCTATGTACATAGAAAACTGTTTTTCAATAGACCTATTTATACTTTACATTCTTCTCACTAAAGGTTCCCTTGGTAGATGCACTGGTGGTACCTGTAGGAGGAGGAGGAATGGTTGCTGGAATAGCAATTACAGTTAAGGTGAGAAAACAACTCCTGGAAGACTCCCCACGTTAGGCACAGAGGATTTTATTTCCCATCACAGTACACTGTGGCACCTGCTTAACATTTCCCCTAAATTGCTGTTCCTTCCCATCAATTCTTAGCACTTGAGATGGAAGACCCTTTTCCACCTCACTACCCTTTTCTTAATCTGAGACTTTACAGCACAAAAGCAATTACAATGAGTAGCAGCCTATCCCAGTCCTTCCCCTGAATTCCTTCTCACCAACCTTCTATCCAAGCCAGGGGCTGTTTTCCCAAGTTACCAATAGAACCAGATGTGATCTAGGCAACTGAAGGCCATTACTAGGCACACAATTTAAAGTGCTTTACAGTCATGTTTTCATTACGTATCACAGAAAAGGCTCTTGCTTGGTTAGAAATGTGTTACCTGTACTGCCTCTTTTACTGCAGGCATGTAGGCAAAACACGTGGCTGGTGGTGATATGTCTAACATTCCTCTTCGCAGGCACTGAGACCTAGTGTGAAGGTATATGCTGCTGAACCCTTGAATGCAGATGACTGCTACCAATCCAAACTGAGAGGGGAACTGACCCCCAACCCCTACCCTCCAGAAACCATAGCAGATGGTGTCAAATCTAGCATTGGCTTAAACACCTGGCCTATTATAAGGGACCTCGTGGATGATGTCTTCACTGTCAGAGAGGATGAAATTAAGGTGAGGATCCAACAGGAAAGAAAGTAACAAAAAGAATGGAATAACTTTTTAACCAAAAGATACTTCTCTTATAAGTAGCAACTCATCCACTGGGGACTTGACTCATGACATGGGGGAGGGTACCCTAGATATTGGGACAGCCCTCAACACTAGCAGAGTTAGAATGAAAAAAACACAGCTCTTCACTGGCAAGCATGTATGTATATACATGTATTAATTAGGCTTTAATTGAAAAGGCCCACCAACTAGGCTCCCCTCCCCCATTTCACTAATTATTACTCCCTTCTCTGCCAACAGTATGCAACCCAGCTGGTGTGGGAGAGAATGAAACTGCTTATTGAACCTACAGCTGGTGTTGGAGTGGCTGCTGTTCTGTCTCAGCATTTTCAAACCATTTCCCCAGAAGTAAAGAACATTTGTGTTGTGCTCAGTGGTGGAAATGTAGACTTAACCTCTGTAACTTGGATGAAGCAGGCTGAAAGGCCAGCTCCTTATCAATCTGTTTTTGTTTAATTTATCCATAAGGAAGAAATGGGTTTCAATGTCTCCAGACACTTGTTAATGTTGTTTCCTAGTCACTGTTAAGTTCCCATCTTAAACAGCTTTCAAAACCCTAATGGAGAGTGTGTATTTCAGTAAGATTTAATAGTTTTTTTTTATGAAGTAGCAATCAAAAAACACCCATACTTAACTGAGACACCTTATCAAGGCCAAGAAAAACCTTTTGCAAAAAGGGACAGCAGACTTCTAGGCTGAAGTAGACACAAACTTTGCCCAACTACAACCTGTAGATTCCCATCCCTAGGTTGCTAACTAGTAGCAATGAGACAGAATTCCACCAAATCCATTACTCCATGTCCACTTCTGGCATTTTTGAAGAAATCTCACTTTTTACCCAAGGTACTGGTTCTGGTACATATGGATCATAAGTCCATTTGGGAAAAACTCGTTTATAGAGGTTCATCAGTACTGTGTCCTGAGATTTTAGCTTCCCATCAAAACTGCACTTCATATGGCCATGAGTACCTAGAAAGAAAACACAGCAAGCTGGTCAAATTAAAATAAAAAATTTTATTGATGGTCCTCTACCTCAATAGTGATTTAGTAGCACTGCAGAAATCTAGATCGTGTTCCAAATACCACTTTCTCTTACCTACAGGCTCCTTGATATGTCCCCTGCGGCCCCACTTTGTCCTCAGTTCCACCGGTTTAAACCACAGCACATCCTCTTAGAATGAAACACAAAGACCAAGATGTGACATTTACCCTCAAAACACAAACCCAACCTTCACCCACATAGGCAATCAGATCCCCACCTTCACACCTACCTCTGTTGAAGAACATGTAACGCACTACTGCCATCTTAGTGAAAATTTTGAAAGGATGACCACTTAGAACAACTCTCTTGATGACCATCCTGTCTGGATCCACAGATAATAGGTGGCCTGTGGCAATGAGGCTGTGCATTCCTAAGGGGCAAAAGCAGAGCAGCGGGAGTCTACAGGCCAAAGCACTTACTGCTCTAGTCCACTTAAAGACCTCTGATAGACCTTAAGTATGGATGTACTATGCTGTCTTCCTGGGTCCATGGCAAATATCATTAAGTGATATTCCTACTGAGCGTGTCCCCAGAACTTGTCTGAAATATAGCACTCTGAGTAGTCTCTACCAATGAGCTCAAGTTTGCAAGCAAAATTAAACCCCATTTGTCATCTATGCCTTAGAACTATTGTGAGGCTGAGATTGGGACATTCTGAAAACTATCATCACCTTCATATCATTTGGCTCCCAAATGGAAATACAGAAACCCATGTTACATCAATTAGGGACCTGCAGGTCTGTTTACCTCTGGGAACTCAACTTACCATTGCTGTTCTGTTTGAAAAGCAGCACAGATGCAGGAGGAAAAGTGATGGGGGCATACACTGTCACCACCAGGGCCATGTCAGCAGTCAGGAATCTCTGAAATTTATGTTTATCCGCTGCCATAATAAGGGTTAAAAAAATAAAAACCAAAAACATTTAAAGGAACCACAGGTAACCCAGAGGCCCGTGAAAATCTGTATTTCTGCAGCTTTTACACCCAAGGCAACTTGTGTTTCTTTACCCCACTAGATCTCAAAATATTTTCCTGCTTCAATATACCTGTAAGATACAACCCAACCTATCAGTGATTTTCCAACTAGAGACAGAATCTTGAAGCCTGGACTATATTTTCTGTTTGAAAAAGTTCTCCAGTGATTCTAATACATTCTACCCTTACCTCATTGGAGAATCAGTGCTTTATAGAGAACATGTCCACTAAATTGACACCTCTTAGTCTTGAGTGAGGACTGGCAATTATTTTCTATAAAGGGCCAGGGAGTAAGTATTTTAAACTTTGTGGCCATATGGTCTCTGTTCCCATTACTCAACTCTGTCACTGTAGCACAAAATAGCCAAGACAATATATATATTTTTTAAAGGCAAAGTTGTGTTCCAACTTTACAAATAGTGAAACAGACTTGGCCCAAGGGCCATAATTTGCTGACCTCTGATCTTGAGACCTATCTGAAGCTTCTGTTTTTACCTTCAATGAAACTCTGCTCCTTTTTTCAATGCTAAAGTAGAGGGAAATAAAATATTTTAAGGGGAAGAACAGTTAATCCCTCATTTAGACAGCATGGCTGATGAGAACAGAAATTGCCCAGAGTTCCCACACTAATACTGTCTTTATCATTTTCCTCTGGCCATTGCTGAGCTAAGGGTGTGTAGGTGATGTTCACAAGCCCCCAAAGTTAGTACAAAACCGCTTCCCACTCCTAATATGTAGTACAATAATTTTTGCCACCAAAGTGTTCTTGGTCACCACTCTCCAAACACCCATCCAGTCTCAGCATCTCAGAAGCCACACATTTCTTGCTTTATCCAACTGTGGGCAACCCACTAGCCTTCACCAACACTGCCACTGGTGTATCAGATGCCAAGGGTTCCACATTTCGACACACAAGTTTTATGAAGTGGCCAACTCTGATTAAAAATCTATTTTGGGCCCTGGCTGGTGTGGCTCAGTGGACTGAGCGCCGGCCTGTGAAACAAAGGGTCGCCGGTTCGATTCCTAGTCAAGGCACATGCCTGGGTTGGCGCCAAGTCCCCAGTAGGGAGTGCAAAAGAAGCAACCACACATTGATGTTTCTCTCCCTCTTTATCCCTCCCTGCTTCCTCCCTAAAAGTAAATAAATAAAATCTTTTAAAAAATATCTACTTTGGGGGCCTTGTGTAGTATGGCTCAGTGGATTGAGTGCCAACCTATGAACTAAAGGGCCACCAGGTCCATTTCCTGTCAGGGTACATGCCTAGGTTGCAAACCAGGTTGACCCATGTTTCTCTCTCACATCAATGTCTCTCCTCCTTTCTTTCTCCTTCCCTTCCCCTCTCTGAAAATGAATAAATAAATATGTACACACACATAATTTTTTTAAACCTACGTTGGAATAAATATGCTCATGATAAAGAAGCCTCAGTATCACACAGAAGTTGCATCACTGGGATGCTTCAGACAGGTTCAGACATTTTGAATGAATACATCATTGGCTCCTAAACCACAGTATTGAAAATATCTCTAACCTAGAGGCCTAGAATTTGAAAGTGTATACTCTATACCTCCCCACCAATAGTTACAGGCCCCCAGAAGACAACAGGATAGATAAGAACCCAGGAAGTTCCCCACTGCTTACCTGCAGTGTGCTGAGAAAATAAAGGGGAGGCTCGGAAGCGCCTGAACCCACAGTGGAAGATCAACTCCTCTTTAGCTTTTACAGGTTCAGTATTGCCAGGATGCCGACTTACTACCATATTCAGTACTGACATCTAGGGGCCAAGTAAGGAAAAGAGTACTTCATATCTAGAACAGCTTAACCTGAAAGGTGGCAAACAAAACTAACAGCTTCAGATTCACTCTAAGAACTGACGACCCTGCCCTGGCTGATATGGCTCAGTGGACTGAGCACTGGCCTGTGAACCAAAGTGTTGATGGTTTGATTCCCAGTCAGGATCTATGCCTGGGTTGCAGGCCAGGTCCCCAGTTGGGGGTGTGTGAGAGGCAACCACAACACACTGATGTTTCTCTCCCTCCCTTCCCCTCTCTCTAAAAATAAATAAAATCTTAAAAAAAAAAAAAAAAAGACAATGCTAATCCATGGTGTAGTACAGATGATGAGAGAGATTCACTTTTTACCTCCACCATGCTTGAACTGAACACATGCTGGTTTTCATGGCTTTCACTTACCCTCTATACTAGTTGACATTCCCGTGTCTAACATGCAAGGGCTCAACATCTGCCACATGGTCAGTGACTTCAAGGCACTCACTCAAAACCACACTCATTCAAGCCCCGTCTCTTCCTCAACCCTTACTCTCACTGACTGAAGGCCAAGAGTCTCACATACACTCCAATCTACATGACTGCTGGCCATCAAGAGAAAAGAGATCTATACCTTGGCAAAAACCCTCTTTGTTTTTAAGCTGCTCACCCTTGGTTAAAATCTGATCTGACAAATATAATCATCTCAGAGAAGTCTCAGCACCACACAGGCTGCATCACTGAGATGCTTCAGACAGGTTCAGACATGTTGGGTTAAACCATCATTGACTTCTCTATCATCCCTGTTCCTAATCCAATGAGCAAAATGCCAGTCATAAATAAAATTTTAGACTGCCAGGAAAAACTGGTCAGAAATCTTCATAACTCCCATTTCCCGCAAGATACTAACCTTCTGTTCGTGAGGGAGTAAAGAAAATGCGATCAAGGGTGCCCCTCGTTGGAAGTGCTCAGCCACAGAGACAGGTACTTCAGAGACATGAAGTGTGACATACCAGCCGACCTGCCAGAAGAAGGCAGGGCACAATCACACATTTACCCTTAAGGCCTCAAAAATGACGAAACAGTTCTCCAAACATGTTAACAATCTCATACTACCCTAAAGCCAACCCTCGCCCTTCAAAACTGCCTTTCACAGATGCCTCAACTCCCCAGATTAAACTTTTCTAGTTAACATTTCTGATACCTCTTTGCTCCCAATATCACTCTTATCAATGATCCAGCAGCATGTCTAATTCAGGTGTGGACAGCACAAAACTAAATAAGGAACTTTTCCCAAGGGAAGTGAAGGAGGGGGCACCCTGGCAAACAGAAACTAATTGCAGAGGTCAATAAAGGAAGAAGGCAGGTACCTCGGCTCCTTCAACCTCTTTTTCCTTGATTCCTTTAAAGACGAGTTTCCTGGTATTAGTAAAGTTTTGAAACTGGAAGATGCGAGCATAATCTCGAGGAAGGTTTTCCTTAGGGTCCCATGGAGATGTGCGGAAGCTCTTGAGGCCTCTGTATTTCTGAAATCTAGAACATAGGAGATTTCGAAAAAATTCTAGTCAAATTTATACGGTATATCCGTATAAATAGACTTAACTTTCACTCAAGTCAATAAAATGGCTAAGGCTCTAACTTAAAGTAACTGTTATCAGTATCTCTCAAGATAACGTAACAGCCTAAATCAGGACCACACTCCGAAAACAGTTTTTAACAAGTATTTCTAAACCAAACCCAAGCTTCTCACTGACAAAGGATGAAGTATTTACAGTGGCTCACTGGTACCTGTCATGGAGTGGCTCCATGAGGAGGCCTGAGGAACACGGTCCTGAGGAAAGGCTTACTTCTCTAATATCCAACAAACTCTCTGGGTTTAGTCAGACTGACCCCCAGAGCAGAAATGATCACCTGCACCTTCATGCTTTTATTTTTGTGGTTCCACCCAAACTCCCCCAAATCTCCAAACACTACTTCAATTGAGTATTAGTTCACATAGGAAGCATTTGCAAATTAATCTTAGTATTTCTCATTCATTAAAGTATTATAACATTATTCATCTATACCACACAGTTTAGAATTTAATAATGCATTACTGCTTCCTGTATGTATGTTTTATCTTCCCATATAGAATGTTAGCTCTTCAGAGGCAGAACCGTTTTTTTCTTTAAGAATTTATTTATTTATTTTTCAGAGAGGGAAAGAGAAGGAGAAAGAGAGGGACAGAAACATCAATGTGTGGTTGCCCCTCGCACACCCCCAGATGGGGACCTGGCCTGCAACCCAGGCATGTGCCCTGGCTGGGAATCAAACCAGCAACACTTTGGTTCACAGGCCCATGCTCAATCCACTGAGCCACCCCAGCCAGGGCCAGTTTTTTTCTTTTTTAAGATTTAATTAATTGTTTTTAGAGAGAAGGGACGGGAGGGAGAAAGAAAGGGACAGAAACAATGATGTGAGAAACATCCTAAGCACCCCAAATGGGGAACAAACCCACAACCCAGGCATGTGCCCTGACTAGGAATAGAACCGGTGACCTTTCGCTTTGTGGGAAGTTGCCCATCCAACTAAACCATGCTGGTCAGGGCTGTTGTTCTTCTTTTGCATCACGCTGACATAGCTCTGAGACACATAAATTTTAAGTTAAAACTTATTGATTTATTTTAGACTTGACTGACCGAATTCTAGCAGCCACGTCACGGGGCGTATCTACTTCATCTGGAAACATCTCTTCCAGTCTTTCTTGTTTATATTTCTCCAGCATTTTTTCCTCAGCCTCTTCATCAACTTTCTCATCATACAGATCATCACGCACAGACTCTCCTATAGTCATAGTTTCACATTCCTCCTCTTCCTCCTCTTCACTGCTCTCATCCTGTGGAATAAGGTTACACTTTCAGGGGGGTGGGCTGGGATGGGGGTAAAGGGCAGAAAACTGTACTTGAACAACAATTAAAATTAAAAATAAAAAAGATTATACTTTCGAAAGAAACCCATACCTACATCTACCCTAAAAGACTGAAGGTAAGAATAAAATAACTTTATTAGACACCTAGTCCAAACTGTTTCAATGCTAAAGGACTCAGTCATAAAATGTCTCATTCCCGACAACTACAAAGTCATCTTTGAAAAACTGACCACACATGCACCTCAAGGTTAGGACTGCACTTTGCCTTGCATTTGGGGCTGTACATAGAAGTGTCCGATCGGACCATTTCCTTACCTGAGATTCCTCTTCCATGAAATTCTCATGCTCTATATCATCATACTCATCTCCTTCCCCATCACTTTCGCAATCCTCATCCAAAATCCATTCAGCTTGGTAACTGGATGTTCCTTTGGGAACCTTCTTTACCACCTTGGAATTTTCCTTCAAGATGTCTGTAAAAGCCCAAACAAGTAATGATATACCTCCTTTCCCCTATTACTTTGGGTATTCTCACCTAATCCAGACACTGGAAATTCTAGCCGACGCTATGAGCAAAACAAACTACTACTTCCAAATTTAATTCAGCTGCCTCAAAACTAGCAATACTCATATAACTAAATAAACCTTGTAATGAATCCAAAGTTATTTATCTGTTCATTAGAAAACAATAACAAGTGATTTTGAAAAACAGAGCAAAGCAGTGTGCTTAATGCAAACTTCATAGCATTTGGGGGTGATAAGAAACAGACCTCCAAATACATTCTCATCCCACTCCACTTTACTGGATCCTGACTGTGAGCAGCTAGGCAAACCCCGTAATTACAGGCCATATGAATTACTGTAAAAATAAGCTTGCCACTACCAACCATTTGCCTCACTCAGTTCCTCCTCAGTGGGCCAGGTTTGCTCCCCCTCCATTGGATCTGGGATAACCTCTGTTTGCAAAGATTCTTGTCTATCAGGGTCTGCTTTCATTAAGACCTTAAGGTCTTCCTCCATATCAGCTACAGCATCTGTAGTACAAATCTAAAAACCCAAAGCAGGTGATGGTCAGTCAAACATTAACCAAAAATCTACTAGTCTAACATAGTAACCAGACTATCTGAAAATAACATAGTCCTCAAATAGAAGATGAATGAAATAAAATGAAACAAAAGCTTGTGGAGTTTTTGCAAATGGCTGTTTCCCAGCATTTTAAGTCTACTCGTAAACCTCTGCTTGGCTCTTGAGGTTTTTCATAATTTGGCCCCACTTGTATCCGTTTATTACATACTTTATTCCCATTGAGCTGATTTCTTCAGAGTTCAAAGACACCCTTTGATTCATCATTATGCTAGGTTCATGTTATCTCTACATTCTAGGATAGTCTTTCATCTAACACTCATAAATCCCATTCATCCTTCTCAACACCTGGCTGAAGTCTGATCTCCGTGAAGCTTGTCAGTCTACTTTCTCAACTCCCACAACAGGTCTGTACCTCACCCACACTTTCTCAATCTTTACATCACTTGTTTGCCATTTTTTTCCTGATCTAATTGTCTGAGGAAAGAGACTACATCTTGTGTCTTCTATAAACTAAGAGCCAACTGCTGTGTAAGGCATCTACAGAGTGTTGGATGGATAAACATGTAACATAGCAATATATTAGTAGTTCACTAGCACCTTACTTCAAACTAGCAGTCACCTCCAGGGACCAGGGTAGTCAGTCGTCTAGGCATGCAGACTACATTCTCTGAAACTAGTTCCCATCCTATTCCAGCTTACAGATGAATCTACAACACAGTCTTTAAGAATATCAATCTTACCTCCATTGCCATGCCTGGGTTCTTTTGGGATTTGATCACTCTAGGATTTAAAGGGAAAGGGTCCATAGGGGCATCTATCTGTTTCATCTGGAAATCACCATGTCCAATGATATGCAGCAAGCTATTTACATCCATAGCCTGCCCACGAATATAGCCTGAGATTTTCAAGGTCCCCACCAAGTTATTCTCTTCATTAGGCACAAAGTCAGCATCATGAGCAAACAGGTAGGCCCGCCGATCTCGAAAGGCAAGATGCCGTTGCTTTTGGTTAGCCAACTGCCTAAGCAGCATCCCTGCCTCCTGCTGAGTGTCTAACAAAAGGAGTTTGTCATCTGGAAAGCGCTTCTCCACGACTTTACTTAGCTTCTTTCTGGCATCTATTTGTTTCTTTGGTGGGAGTCCCGAAATCCCCTGGATTGCTAGTGCTGTGAGCAAAAGAGAAAAGAGCTTCATGACCTCTTGCTTCACTACATGAAAATCCCCCAAGCAAGTTCACAAACAAGCTAACAGTTATGAGCCTAGAGATCACTGGAAAACCTGACACTCAGCTACCTTAAATTACAAAGTAAAACCAAACTTTATACTCTTCTTCATCTGGGCAAAGGGCAGCCCAGAAATAAAAAGGCACCTTGTACAAAATAATATTGAATGTAAACTGTAATAAAAAAATTTTAAGCACCTTGAAACAAATTATAGGTGCACAATAAATGCTAAATCACTTCTTCCATGGTCTCTAATATTTGCAAATGACTTACTATAGGTGGGAAGGCCCTGGGCAAAGAGGCAGGAAAGGCAATAATCCCCAGTACTATCCCAGCCTTCTAGTGGATCAAGAAGGAACAGGATGTTATCAGCCACTTTAGCCAAGTCTAGTACAGTGTGCAGATCCCCTAAATATAGAAAACAAAGTTAGTAGGAAGAGGTGGTCAGTCCCAGCACATATTAACAAAAAAAAATATTACCACTACTCAATACATAATGACAGAAAGTACTGTATACTCTAACCTGGACTTGCAGATGTGAACAACCATCGATGTTTCAAGATGGGGCATAAGAGCATAAAGCTGTGGGTGCTTCCCCGTTCATTCAAGTGTACTGTTCCAGTGTCTCTATCCTGAAGCAGCCGAAAGGCCTCTGGCAGAGAAATCCTATTGTGCAGGGGCACCACGAGTACCTGATGAGGAGGGCCATCCTTGCTGCCCAGCTGTCTCTTCTCTGCCAGAACCTGAAAATACAAAGGACCAGAGAATACCTCAATGTTTTAGTACTTCGTTCTAGTATTGCCTTTCCAACAACAGTATGGATGCTCTACTCTTCCCCCCCCCACCCCTCCCGAATCTCTCTTGTAAAACGCGACACGTGTATCAAGGAGAGGGGGCAGGGTCTCGGACCAAAGCAAAGAATGCTCTAGCATGAGTCTAGACCTGCACACTGAGACGTGCTCTAGGGTTATTATCCACCTCCGGTCCCTTCTCAGGGTCACATTTTCTAGTACGAGTCATTACTCGCCTAGGACGATTGTGAAGCCCCACCATCCCCAGTTCCTGCTCCTCTCACCGCCTCCTTCTTCTGCTTTCGGAGCTGGCTGGCGCGGTGCCTCTGGTCTACTCTGCTGAGCTCCTTTCTCACCTTCTTACTTAGGCTTTTCAGTGCTAGACGGCCTGGAGGGAGATCATAAAGGGATTCTGTGCCAGACACCAGAAGGAAATGAAGAAAGGGGTCTTCTTTCCACCCATCTAGCGCCTTTAAGCTGGGTCCAGGCCGGAGATAGGAGTTGAGTTTCCGCAAGGACAAAAGCAGTTAAAATAGACTCAGCAGCCCACCTTCCTCCAACCCTATATTCTCACCCTTGCCATCCCGCTGCGCGGATCCGCGACCCCGATGCCGCCCGCCTTTATGAGCTTTATTCTGCTGCTTGAGTGGACCAGAGCGGTGGGCTGCCATGCTGCCACTCACATGTACCAAGTCAGCACTACTTCCTGTCCGGACCGGGAACTTCCGGTTTCGTCTTTGGGGGCGTGTCCTCTTCGTGGCTGGACTAGGGATCCGCCCGTCTTCTCGCGAGGGTCCTTCCTACCAGCCTGTCGTAGCGCTGCCTTCGCGTCTCCACAAAACCGCTTAGTAAACTTTTCCCACGCGGCTGTCTGCGGTTAGGGGCTTTAAAGCGGCGAATGTAGACTTTAAGTTTGCGCTTTTAGCCCCGGAGGGCTGTTTGCTCCCCTGTATTTTCAGTTTTTGCTCTATCGAGTTGTATCACTTAGAAAGATGTTGAATGTAAGATTCTCCATTCGTGCGGCAAAGGGCTGAGCCCCTCTTCTCAACTAGTTTTTTATACGCCGCACCTCAGTTTGCAGTAGCATGTGCTTTGTCACTTTGAGCAATCTTTTCTCACCGTCATTTTCTTCGTGGGCGTCTGCTACAGGCAAATAGCGTTGAAAGCGTTTCTTTAAACTTCACGACCTCTGCACAAGTTCCCGCGGGTCCCGGTTACACCAACTCTCGCCCACCCCTCCAACAGAACTGCAAGACCGAACTGGGCCTGACGACCCCTACGGAGGAGGGAGTCTAGCCAGCCTCTTTAGGCTCAGGTTTTCTGCGCTCCCACTCCTCTACCAACAATCTGCAACTGAGGGCAGGGGGCATAGACTAACGATGGAGCTCCGGCCTTCTAGCCAGAGGACTACTGCCTTCCCCATGACCAGAATCAAGGCGCTCGGGGCCCCTGGACCTTCCCGTCGGGAAAACGAGCGGGTAGAAATCAGGGGGGCGTCTAGCTGGATTGAGGCCAGCTCCCGCCCGAGCAACTTTCTCTTCAGCCAGCCGCAGGGTCCGGGGCGCGCCTCGCCTCCCCGCGGGTCCTAGTACAGGCCCAACTCCAGGCGCTCACAATGCGGGTTCGCGCCCTGGGGACTGGAGCCGGCGCGTTGCCATGACAGCGGCCGGCGTGGCGCGCGCCGGGGAGGCAGCCCCGGGTCGCTGAGCGCACCCCCCGCCCCCGGCTGTGGGAAGGGGCCGGGCCAGCTGCCTGACGTCTGTGCTGGGCTCGGAAGATGGCTGCGGAGCCGAGCAACGGGCAGCGGCTGCGGCGGCGGCGGCGGGCGGGGAGCTCAGCTGGCGAGGTCTCCGCCTTGCGCGTGGGGCGCTGAGCCGAGAGGCGTGGAGGCGGCGAGGGTGCGTGGGGGGCTTAGGGGGCCGCTCGGCGCAGCCTCTCCGCCACCCGCAGCACCATGGGCAGCGCGGATCACGCAGTCAAAGAGAAACTGCTGTGGAACGTGAAAAAGGAGGTAAAGTCTGAGCAAGGACCCCCGGGGTCTCGCGTCACTCCCCTAGCGGCCCAGGGGGTGGAAAGGTCCCCGCCCACGGTCTGGTGCGAGCGTTCGCGAGCCCTGGGCGGGGGCGGGGTCCTGGACTAGCTGCGGCTCCCCTCCATCTCCGGAATCAGGGGTCAGCGCCCCTCGGCCGGAGGGGCTAGGCCGGTGCTCCCGGGTATGTTTGCTCCGAGATCCTGCAGCTCCCCACCCTGTGACGGCAGCTGCGACGGGAGACCAAGGTCGGGGGAGGGGTGGCGGCGATTTCTGGAGAACTGAGGCTGCTCATTCATTGCCCGCGCGGACTGGGGAGGGGGCGGGGCCCCGCGCGGGCCTCCTAGAGCAGTGGAACCCGTGATTTGGGGACTTAGCTCTTGTTTGCCCTATACCCCACTCTGGTATCCCTCTGGGAACTGAGTGGCAGCTGCCCAAGGGTTCGCCGCACACCTCACTGCTTATCAATCCACGCCCACCTCCTTACCCAGAGACTGGGTTGTGGGGGGCGAGTTTGAGAATTGTTTTTCAGACTCAGATTTTTTTTCCCTTTTTGAGGAGCACCCCTCCTCCATGTCGGAAAGAGAAAATAGTCCTCCTGTCTACTAACATCCTTTACGTTGACCCTGCCCTAAAGCCCATTTCAGTTTGGTGGGGGGTGCCCAAAGGAATGACTCACCCCCTTGTGAGAGCTGGAGAGCTCAAACCCGCAGTGTGGATTAGAATAGATTAGGCCTCTGGAGCCATGAACAACTCTGACCTACCTCTGTGTCTGCCAGATGTGTACACTCCACGAAGGCAGGAGACCCTTCTGTTTTGTCCTCTACTCTGTATCCAGGGCCTGGCACACAGTAGGCACTCGACTATTTGGTAACTAAATCTACTGATCTTGAAAACTATCAAGACTGTCGAAATGCATACATTTTAGGATAGTCTGGATCTAGTTCTGTGTGATCTTGGATAAATTACTTAATCTCTCTGAATCTCAATTTCTTCACCTCTAAAATAGGGATGATTATACCTACCTCACATATGAAAGTTTACTATAATGGTTTCTAAAGTTTCAGGACTGGAGAAGACTCAGAGTTCTAATAAACTCCTGGAGGACTCTAGATGATTCTCCTACATTAACTGTGGCCTGGCTCTTGTGCCCTAACATTTGCTCCTTTCTCTTTCATTGGCAAAGAAGTGGTTGAAGCCATCACCTTTCCAGCTGTGTGCCAGGAGCTCCTTTGTACCTTTGCTGTGAAGTGGCCAAGAAAAAGTTTTTTAGGCTAGGAGTACATCAAATCAGCACTTAAGCCCTAACTCTGGTCTCCCCAAAGAAAAGGGAAATCTCAAATCTCAGTGATTACCCTCAGGAAACAAGCAGTCTAGTGAGAGAGACTTCCGTGAACAATATAAGCAGTAACAAAAAAGTGGCCATATCCAAACTATGGACAGAGGTGCTAAGATTGTTAGTGTGATCCAAGTTTTGGGTTGGTCAGAGATGATGGGAAAGATTTTTTACAGGACAATGATTCTATTTTCAGTACTTAGAAGGCTGTTTGTACAACTCTAAGAATGATTTTTAAACAAATGCGAGGAATGCCCAGAATATGCCACAGCTATGTATATTGCCTGACAAAAGTTGACCTGCTTTGAACTCAGTTCCCTTCCCATTTGAGTACTTGATTTCAAGAGTAGAGACACCCTGCCTGGCATAGCTCCGTGGATTGAGTGCGGGCTGCGAACCAAAGTGTCACAGGTTCGATTCCCAGTCAGGGTACATGCCTGGGTTGCAGGCCACAGCCCTCAGCAACCACACATTGATGTTTCTCTCTTTCTCCCTCCCTTCCCTCTCTAAAAAATAAAATGAAAATAAAATCTTAAAAAAAGAGTAGAGACAGTGGGGATAATTGTAGGCAAGTCTGGTTTTTCACAGTGGGCCTCTGGTATCCACATTCTAGGGGCATCTGTAGGTCCTCCTAACCTAAAACTCTGCCCTACCACCTCAGATGCCTACAGGTTTTTGAGCTCTGATGTTATGCTCTGTTTAATGAAAAAACCCATTGGTAAGTAATCTGGGAAGCTTTTAAGAGATTTTTTTTTAAGATTTTATTTACTTATTTTTAGAGAGGGGGAAGGGAGGGAGAACCCAGGGACCTGGCCCACAACCCAGGCATGTGCCCTGACTGGGAATCAAACCAGCAACCTTCTGTTTTGCAGACCAGTGCTCAATCCACTGAGCCACACCAGCCAGAGCACTTTTAAGAGTTTTTTAGAGCACAGGATTAGTCTGAACCTCCTTTACCTAACTGCTAACCATGAGCAGTTTCCAGCATGGAGAAGCCTCCATCTCCTACCTCCCTACCCCTAGGCTTTAGAAGTTCAACCACACTTCTAACAGTACAGTCCTAGGTGAGGGACTTAGGAGCAAGGGCAGCATCAGGACATTTCACGCCCTGTCCAAAGTGAGTGGCAAAACCTAGCTCTGCCCAGAGTTTACTTTATCAAAGATTTTACACTTGGCTTGAGGTAATCCATTCCTCTAATCTCTGGGATTAGTATCTGTCTCCTGGCAGTTCCTGCAGGACATCAGAAGTGCTTGGCTTACATGTTGGGAGCACCTAGAACCTCATATACTGCTGATGGAGTGTAGATTGGTACAACCACTTTGGAAACAATTTGGCAAAATCTAGTCAAGTGGAAAATAATATGTCAGAAATTCCTTGCCTGAAAATATAAATCCAAAGAAATGAGCACCTGCGTTCCCCCAAAGACATATCCAGAATGTTCATGGCAACACCATTCATGACAGCCCCAAATTGGAAACTACCCAAATGTCAGTCAAGCCTGGAGTGTTCACACAATGGAGAATGAACAATCCACAACTACACACAACATGAACAAATCTCACAATCACACCAAGGAGCAAAAGAAACACTGCCACAAAACACTACAATGAGTGATTCCATCTAGCAAAACTACAAAACCCACAAAACTACACCGTGATGTTAGAAGTCAGGATAGTGGTACCCTTGAGGGGAGTGGTGACTAGAAGGAAACTTGGTAGCATGAGGGTGCAGGTCATGTGTTCTGTTTCTAAATCTGGATGCTGGTTTCACAGGTGTGTTCCATTTGAAAATTCATCAGGCTGTATAATTGTGATATATACCCTTTTCTATATGTTTACTACATGCCAATAAAGGAAGTTGTGCGTGTGTGTGTGTGTTTTCTTAAAGATGTAACTGCTTACTTTACAAGGTATTTGGAAGCTTTTACATCTGGGTAGGAACCCAAACATCAGGGTGTTCCCTGGACAGAAAGAAAGCTGGGCTTGTGAGCATGTGGAAAGTATCCCTGAGGCCTGGGTGGACCTACCCTTAACCTCAGAGAAGGGGGAGAAAAAGAGGGCCAGGTTGTTTATCCACAGCCCATACTGAGACAGTTTGTCCCTAAAGGACAGTGTGTCTGCCCGGAAGCCCTTCTCCAGTGAAGTACAGATGAGCAAACAGCATCCTATCCCTGTCCTCCACACCAGGCACTTCCTCCTGGGCTGGAACATCGGCATTGAGTGCTTGGTGGGCTTATGGTACCTCTTTCCCTAGCTGCCTTTCCAAGATGCTTAGAGCTGTCTATGCTGAGGAAACTTTGCTTCCCCACCCCTCCCACCCTGTGATCTACTTTGCAAGTGTCCAAACTCAGACAGGATGGTAGAGCCACGCTATTTACTTGCCCACAGGCCTTTGATCAGGGAAAAAATGGCGATACTGCCCTTTTGTCTACAGGTGAAGCAAATCATGGAGGAGGCCGTCACCAGGAAGTTTGTGCATGAAGACAGCAGCCACATCATTGCTCTGTGTGGTGAGTGACTGGGGGACAGTGGGAGAGGGGTTTCAAACTGAAAACATTGTCCTGGGGCCAGGAAAAGATGGGACCTTCGGTGTCATAATTTTTAAGTCTGGATGCAAGTCAGAATCAACTGAAAAGCTTTTGAAATCTCCCTGGGCCCCATCCCAGACCTACTGAATAAGGATCTTCAGGACCCAGGGATCTACACATGCTTAATTCCCTCAAGCAGCCGTGTTCAAAGTTTAGCATACACCAGAGTGACCTGAAAGGCTTATTAAAACAGTTCCATGGGTCCCCACCCTGGAGTTGCTGGTTCTGGTAGGTCTGGGGTGGGTCTGAGAATTTGCGTTTCTAATAAATTTGCAGTTGATGCCGATGCTGTGGGTCCAGGAACCACGCTTTAAGAAGCATTGTCCTAGGGCTTGGGAACCACCAATTTGGTTTATCCTTATGTTAACTTTGGGGAAGGCTTCGTGCTTTTTGAATGCTTTCTGTGCCACATCTACTTTCTCATTAGTCCCACCTGTGTTGCTTCAGCACCCCAAATCTCCAAGCACTTGACTGGATGCAAAACAATATGGGTGCAGGAGAGGAGGGATAGCTAAAGCCTTCCCACCTAAGAAGGGAGAAAGTCCGTAATAAACCGTCACTTCCCCCTCAACGTGAACAATTTTGCCTTTGTAGGAACAATCCTGTCTCTACGCACAGCAGAGTTTTCTTGCATTTCACCTCCCCTGCAACTCCCTTTCTGAGGAGACACAGAGCCTTTGCCATCTCTATATTGGCCTACGTGGCCTCTGAGATTGGGGTTAGGAGGGAGGTTGTGCATTTCTGAAGGGGAGGAAAGAGCAGATATGGAGGGGATACTTTTTGGCAGCAGCATGGTGAGGCAGACAGAGCTGCTCTTCCCATCAGTCCAGCCCTACAGGCTGAATGTCCACCGGGTGCCAGGTGCCGTTCTCCAGGCAGGGAAGCAGCAGTAACAAGACAGACGGTCTCTGTCACAGAGGCTTACATCCTGTGGGGAGACAGAAAGCAAATACACACATAAATATATCATGCAATAACAGGCATGATAACAGCTATGAAGAAAAATAAAGCAGAGAGATGTGGGAGGACGAGTGGGGAGAGGCGGCCTGCCAGCGGAGCCTGAGTGACAGGCGGGATCACACACACCCTGGTGCTCTGCTGACTTCTGAAGTCATGTTGGACAAGTTTCTCAACATCTGCCACCCTCCATGTGCTCCTCTAAAAATGGGGAGGATTCCCACCTCAGGGAATTTTTGTGGGGATTGAAATGAGGCATGTGAGTGTTCCTAGCCTTGTAAGAGCTCAGAAAATGCCCATCTTTCCTTCTTTGGAATGTTGAGGCTGAAGCCAGGTTTGCAGGATTTGAGTCCCCACCATCTCCCTTTTGGGTCAGTTTCCCCTGTTCTTTGAGATGATGTAATGATTCCCAGATTTACAAGGAGGAGTCTTTTCTTGGGTAGAACCTATGCTAGGGAAAAACCTGCTAGTCCTGTAATAAGTGGCTCTGAAGAGTATTAGGGCTCTACTCCTTTCTACTGGTACTGTGTTACCCTGACGTCAGCCACTGTCTGTCATTGTCACCAGAAGGGCTCTGCCGGCAGCCCAGTTTTGAGTGGTTTGATGCTAGGCTTTGTCCAGAGCACCCACAGAAAACAAAATAAATGAGCACAAACAGCTTGTACATGGGAGCCACGTGTGGGTGTCCATGGGGGAGTGGGGAAGAGAAGCAGGGAGAAAAGCAATAGGCATCCCACATCAGGCCAATTGGGGTGAGAAGAAACCATTAGCTCTCTTTTAACTTGTCCAGGGGCCCCTAGGAGCCAGTGGGGCTTTTGCTTTTTTCTCCTGCCTGAGCCCAGGGCTCTCCAGCAGGCAGGGTATTATCCTCAAAAGGGATGATTCTCTTTTGACCAGTTTCAGTTGCTGAAATAGAAGGGTTTATGAATTGGACTCAAGTCATCAGGGTTTACAAGTCAGCCCAGGAGCAAGAGGAACCCTGATCTGTTGGATCTCAGGAGGTGTCTTGGGTCCAGGAGTGCAAACGTAATTGCGTGCAGGGTCAGGTGAGAAAGGTCCACCAGAAGCTGTCCGGCTGTGAGGTAGCAGGCCTCAGTGGGGACTGGACTGGGCTGAAGTGGACAGCGCTTGCCCTGTTTGAAGAGGCAGCCACCACTCAGCTCCTGCACGAATGCCAGCCCGGGCCTGCCATGGCCTCTGTTTGACTTAAGAGAACTCAGAAGTCTGAGATATTATATGAAATTTCCCAGTTTTTAAATGCTGGTAGCTAATTTCCCTTTCCAGAAAACTGTGTGGGCCACACAAAAGACATCTGCCAGCCTCTGCCAGTTTGCTGCCTCTGCTGGGGCTTGGTGCACAGTCATGAGGGGGATGTGCCAACATGCCTGGGTAGGGGCTGCCAACAGTATAAAGCTCAGGCTGGGCCATGTGAGACCCACTGAAAAAGGAATCCTCACACTTTGTCAGACTTGGTATTCAGTGAGGTAAATCTCAACCCGGTCTCAACCAGGTTGGTTTGAAGCAGTAATTATCAACCTTTTTTCCAGCCTGCAAGCCATTCACATGCATCACATGGTAGACTCATAGTCAGGGATTCTTGGGGGAGGCAGAAGGAAGAACAATACATTTTGAGGGAAAACTCCACCTCTCTGACTTTTTGAAGATTCTGATATACCAGTCTCCTTTATCCCCTGGAAAAATGCTCAGGAATACATTTTTAGTCTGAAGTAGATTCAGCCTATAGTGAGTCTTGCTGTTCTAACCACATCCAGAATTCAGCTTTGTTCTGGGAGAAATGGGAGTGCAGGGAAGGTGCTGAGAGATTGGATCAGGTGAAGGCTGTGGAGCCTGGATTAACCACGGAGTGGCCACGTGACATTCCCTGGAGCTCTGTGGAATGCTGGGTCCCGGGCCCCTCTGTTCTTGGTAGAGGAGGGCTAGGAAGTGACTGAGGAGGGCAGGGTCTGGGCAAGATGAACTTCTCTGAATTTTCTTAGAATAGAGACATTTGAACTGGAAACAGAACCTTCCTGGAGAGCCATAGACATGGAACGGAACAATCCTTGAGTCAAGACTTGGCCCCGGGCAAACTCAGGACAGTTACACAGGACCCTGGTTCCTTTTACCCATGGTTAAGAATGGGACTCCCGGGACTGGCAAGCGGTGTGCATTTGTTGTGTGTTTGCTCTGGTGGTTCCTAAACCTCTCTGTCCAGAAACCCATCAGGCCCCCACAGGTAGAGACCTTATGAAGAAGCTTCGCTGGCAAAACCTGGCTGGCAGGGAGGAGTTCTCTGTGTGCTGTTCTCTGACCACATAGCATGGCTGCAGTGCTGCTCCAACTGAAGCAGCCCCCTTAACCCCCAGACCTGAGGATCAGGACCCGTGCGACACCCCGTCCCGCTGGTGAAGTCTGGGGCTTGGAGAGGAGGCCTAGACCTGCCACTCTGTAGTTGGTCAGGTCATGTCAGGTTTGCATTTTGTTTCATGATATGGTCTTTGAAACTCTTACTTTAATGTAGACTTGCTCTTGAATCAGAATAAGGCTTCTGGTTTTCTCCATGGCTTATTGAACCCCCAGGTGTAGGCTGATTATCTCCTGCCACCCCTTCCTCTGGGCACCAGAGGGCAAGGCGCTTCTGACTTTGGCTTGTGGACAACTCAGGGTTAAGGTTGAACAGCAAATTGTCCCAGGTTTCACCTTTGAACTCTGCATTTGTAATAACAATGTATGTGCTTAAAGAGGGCATACTCAATTTAGTCATCAGCCCAGGAATACTGGTGTTTTCTCTGGACCTGCCCTATCCACTGGCAGGTCTGGGTGTGTCTGCCTCCACAGTACCTCAAAGATGTTGTGGGTTCAGTTTCAGACCACTCACAACAAAGCAAGACATAAGCTTTTTGTTAGTGGAGCATCTTGCCTTCAGTTTGTAAAAAATGCAACATCTAAAAAAAAATGCAACATCTGTGAAGCGTAATATAGCAAAGTGCAATAAAACAAGGTGTGCCTGTCCTTCTGTTTGCTCTGTCTGAGTGCTGAGGTTGGATTTTAACCTTTGGTGGTAGAGCGGATTTTCATGGTCTGCAGAGAGGTTCCTGGCCTGGCACCTTGGTTCTCAGACTCACAATTGTCTCCTCTCCTCAGGAGGCATTGGGGCAGGCTCCAGGCCTGACCTGGGCAGCCCCAAGCTGCAGTCACCTGGTTCCTCACTCTCCCAGCGCAGATCAAAGATCTGTTAACCGGAGGGCTGCTTCGGGCAGAGGATGAGCTGTAATGGGAGACAGGGGTGGAGTCTGTGGAGCTGGGAATAATATCAGGGCTTTATTAACCCGCTCCCTGTTGCTAAGCAGCTGTCATTAGCCAGGAAGGTCGGATGCAGTGAGCTCCTGTGGGGAATGGCAAGGAAATGCTAATGAGCTAGGGGAGAGGCAGGTGCTACTGAAGGATTGCGTCTCACCTGGGATATTGCAGCCAGAGATATTTTAGCACTGAGATTCAGACTCCAGGCAGTTTTTAGCCTGTCTCTTTTCAGTGAAAGGGATTCCTTCTCTCTTCTTCCCACCCGCACTGAATGAACAGCTCATTCTTAGGGTATCTGGCTTCTGCCTTCCCTCCGGAAGTGAATGAGTAGGAAAGAAGGCCCTCTGGGGAACTGGCTCCCCGCACCCTGGTTTGGGCCATGGCTGAGGGCACGTGGCTATGGTCCGCAGCTGAGAGCTTGGAGTCCGGCAGACCTGGGTTTACCCCTGACCCGGCCATTAAGTATGTGTGCCAGTCTTCAGCCACTCCAAACCCTCCCCAGAGGGCCGGTATGTGGATTAGAGGGATGATGCCGGGGAAGTGCGCTGCAGGGGCCAGAGGTGCAGTGGGTGCTCACCCACCGACGGAGCTGCCATCACGCCACCAATGACATTCTACTTGGTTCTCGAAAGTGATCCTACAGGCTTCCCCGTGAAGCCTCCTAG